CAAGTCTCATTTGGAGATCAATTTTCATTCCATGTCCCAAACCCGTATGAGTTAACGAGTACTTATAAGTACGAGACGGATAACGGGTACCCATACTATCCGTAAATACCCGTCCAATCAGGCCAACTTCCACCTTAAACCTCTTATTTAGCGCAGAAACAAGTTCCAATCTTGCAGTTCATGGAAAAAATTAGGACCCAGAAGGAACTTTCTCTTTGTTTTTTCTTCTTGCTTTCTTTTTCTGTTTCGTTGTTTCTTTAAGTGTTTTCTGCTTCCTTTCTTCTTTTTAATCTTAATAATATGACGTCAACAAGAATTGAGTTTCTTCGGCAGGAAAAGACAGGAATTGAGTTTCATCGGCAGGAATATGAGGGTTTATATCACATAATGAAATCTGCTCGGCATGGGGGTTTGGCCGTTTGGGAAATTGAATGGGGTAACTGGAGGCGGCCAGGGGGTAGGAGTGGGCTTGGGTTTTGGGTTTTTGGACTAATGAGTATAACATCTACCCGTAATACCCAAATGGATATTAACGGCTAACCCGCAGATAACCAAAGTAGCGATTCATGATCTCAAGTTCCATCCCGTATAAAAAATCATGAGTATTTGGATACCCATAACCCTAAAAAAAGAGATGAGTACAAGTATACCCAAATACTTGTTTCTCGTTGTCCATCCTTACTTATAACAGGGGAGGGGGTGTTTGCAGCCCCGTGAATTGGGGAATAAATAAGCAGGTATTGGGGCATGGGGAAACTAACAATGGATCTGCGGGTCATTACTTATTAGCCAGTAATTTCACCACCTAAACTTCATAAGATTTTTCATTTATAGATGCATACATCTATATTTATAGAAATTATATGTGTCCTAAAATTAAAACCTAAAACTAATAAGAGCTAACTACTTTCTATCCCTATGAATTCCCTCAGAATTTCATGAAATTTTAGGGTCTTGAGTTGAGTTCCAATATATGTGATCAATTATTTATTGGCAAGTTCAAAGGCTTACAAAGAGTTGATGAGTTAGAAAAAAAGTGGAAAAACAAGCACAAATTTCATGACTGATTTTTGATCGTATCATTCATGACGCTTTTTTGCTAAAATTCGCTATCTTTATCACGTGTTTACAAAAAAAAAAAAAAAAAACTATACAACAATAATCTATAGACCCAATTACATTCTCAAATTTCATAACTCACCTCCTCCGACCAACGGGCCAGGGCTCCATGCTAGTATTATTAAAGGTGAAAGCCAAAACCCATTGCTCCATTTCAAATTTCCTGCATCGGGAGTGAATGTAGGAAGGACAGTTTTGTCTTCATAACTACTTATTTCTTTCTTATTTATTTATAATAAGGGATACTTATGGTGATTTGAACCATGGCCAATTTAAAGAGAGGGAAGAGCTACAACCAATCACACTACACATATTTGTTGTATCTTAAAAAAAAAACATATACAAACCTAACATCTAAAAAATCATAGGACTTTTACAACGGTTAGCTAGCCACTAAATCTCTCATAAGTACTTATTTGGTGATTTGATACTTTGATTTTCATACTTTGATTATTTTAATTGTAATTTAATACTTAATTTGCGTTTCTATGTATATTATAAATAGTGGATAACTTTAAAATTGCAACCCAAATATAACTTGGTTGCATATCAAATTGGAGTATTAAGTAGGTCGAAGCAATGTCAAAATTTTATTTTAGTATTAATTTTTGAATTACTATGAAGAAATCATATTGTTGTGTAGACTATATGAGAGGGGGTTTATAACGTTTAAGCTAGGTTAGCCACTAAGTTTTAAACATGTTCCTAATTCGGCGTGATTAGATCCAATGATCATTGTACGAGATTGACTTTAGTTATTGGTTCATTTCACCATTTTTTGACATGTTAATGAATTTCTAGGGCAATGACATATGTCTACGTCTTAACATTTACACACAATACAATATATAAGATTAGAATGAGAAAAGTATTATCCGATTTTAAATTCCTACAACGAGATCCAAAATATGAATGACATATTCTCCTTCACCATTATTAAACTTATTTCTTTATAGAAAATAGACAAGTATTGGAATTTGAACCAATGTATCTTAAAAGAGAAAACAAGAATTATAAGCATGATTTTCAACCCATTGGTCGAATAAGTTTAGCCTAAACCGAGTATCTGTTAGGATGCTTGAGGTCGAGTTGGTTATCAACCCAAACTTGGTCAAATCAGGAAACCCACTCAAATTAGTAAATAAAGTCGATTCAACTAACTCATATGAGCACTGAGTCACTTCAAATCGACATAATTTTCAACAAATCCAATCACTAGCACTATTGACATGTCGTCCTTTTCTTTATCATAGACCCATGCAGTAGCGTACATCAACAAAGTTTGTATATACACTTGAAATTTAATTAGAGAAGAAGAGTAAAAAAAAAAACATTGAGAATGCAATATGATATGCAATGCAAAGAAGGAAAGAAAAAACTAGAAAATGAAATGGAAAAAAGATTAAAAAACAAAAAGGGAAGAAATTTAGAATTAAAGCGTAATTTTGAAGGAAGAAAAAAGTATAAAAAACTGAATCCTAATGAATAAGTTATATTAAATCATCATTGTATCTAAATTTATCATAGAAATTTCATAAATATCTAAGCATAATACATGTCGAACCAATAAATTTTTTTCATATACATGAGTAAAGCTAGACTAAACCAAGTTAATCGAGTGACAGCCTTGGTCATAACAAATTAGACTAAACAAATTTATTATATATTTCCAAACATAAATTTATATAGCGAGAGCAAAGGAAATGCATGCAATATCAGTTTCTAAACATATTTTACTCAAATACATTTATATAACAGTGAATGAGTCTCTAAATTTTGCTTAGTTTTCAATGAAAGATGAGATGCACTTAATTGATCTATGAGTTTAAATATATTTTCATAGCACTAAAACTACAAGTATTGTGATCTTTAGTTGTTCACTCACCTCTGCTTCTGTTTTCATGTTCATAGTTTGCTATGAAATTTAGATAAAGAAACTTTAAATCTCGCGCATTTAAAAGTAGGAGATGAAAACTATGTAAATAAGTGATTGCAAATTTTCTAATTTGAAACCCAAAACGAAGGAATTAAGATATCTCATTTCTTAAAAAGTCTCATGGGTAAGTGATACCTTACCGGTGGATCTGGTGGTGATTGAACAACTAATGTCAAACGAGGCTTAAAAATTCCCTCCTCTATGAATGGCAAAAAACATCCATCTCAAACCCAATTTATTATCAGTCAAATCATATTCGGTAATATCACTTATGGATCATACCAATAAACAACTATTTAGTTTGGGCCTAAATTATATTCATTACACTAGCTACCCAAAAGAAAATGAACACCCAAATCTAATGTAAATTTTGAAATTTTCTTTACTATATAGCTAGATGGTCGATATTATTGTTTCATATGCATAATTGTATGGACTCAAATAGACCCAAATTGTGAGTTCAACTCAAATAGATGCTCTCTTCTTCTAGCTCACTTCCCCATTCCACAAGTCGATAACTTAAAATAATCCGGCTAACGAGCCCGGTCAATAGCCAGTAAATTACTAGCTTCAAATCAATTGAGAATTGCCAACACACTCTCATCGTTTGCGTCGATAAGGAGATCCAGATGACGAGTCCCGGTCGGAATCAAAGTTTATGACAAAGGATGCCCTCGCCTTAGCGTAAGGCCCGTAGCTAGAAGTAGAGGTAGGATACAGTCTCCTCAGTTAGCTAATAGCGATAACTGCAAGTTGTGTATATAGATTATCGAAACCTATTCCCAACCAATTTATGGAAGAAATGCGAGTATTGCAGACAGACTAAGAAAATCAATATTGTGAAATCGAACGAAAATTTATATTGAAAACGTTATTGGTAGAGTATTTTGTACTAAATGTGTGGTTGTACTGTTTAGAATCGCTAAAAGCAGTTATCGTTTGGAAGTCAGTATCCGATATTTCCGGTCCGACCATCCTATACGGTTTGCAAAGAACAAACTTTGAGAGAAATTGCTTTATGTACTCTGTCCCAGTGCCACACTGCATAATGCAAAATGAGAGTTTTTTTCCCAAATACAACAATAATTAAAAAATATTCCAAAAATACAAGACTTAATTCCCCCCCCCCCCACAAAATACCTAAGTTTAGAGAGCCTCGATCCACTTTTTGAGGTAGTGGATCGAGTCTGATGGCCTCGATTCATGCGTTGAAATTTCTAATAACCTTAACTTTGTGCTCGGTTATCCGACCGTAGTGAAATTTTTTATGAATCCGCATAAACTTTTCGAAGACTACAACTTTTTCCATAGAAATATTTTCAGAATGTATGAGGAAATATGAAAAGTAAAGCTAACCTTATTCTCAAAACTCATTATATCCAAAATGATTTCCTATGCTGAAAATGTCATCCTAGTAAAAGTTGCAGGACTCCAAAATTTATGCAATATCAAATTTTTTTTGAATATCGGATTACGGACCACAAAGTTATGATAGTCCAAAATTTGACAAAAAAAAAAATTGGCCGTTTGGAGTAGCAAATGACATATTTTCCAATTTTGTCAAACTTTAAACGATTATAACTTTGTGCTCCATAATCTGATTGTAGTGAGTTTTTTTTAATTATGGTTGTATTTGGGGAAAAACTCTTGCAAAATGCAAGGAGTATTATTTATAAGAAAGAAGAGACTATAGGGACACAACCAGTCAACCATTGAGTTCCTATAACCTAAGGGACCACTTGGAATCTATGTTCCTGAATCTTCTCACGGGACAGACACAAAGTGGAGTCTGAGACAATTCTGCTTATGCACTCTCTCTCTGGCTCTCTTTGTGTGTGTCTCTCTCTCTCTTCATACAAACTCGACACGTGCACCTCCATCTAGCTAGCTGATATGATTAAATAGTTCCAATTTCTCTTTCTCTTCTTTCTGCTACTCACAGTAAATTGAGTAGCAGCAGGTAGCTGCCAACTTACCTTTTCCGGCCAGAGGAAGAAAGAGAGGGAGGGAAAGGAACAAAGAAAAAGGGTATTATTTTAAGGGGGTGGAAATGGGGAGAGGGAGGGTAGAGCTGAAGAGGATAGAGAACAAGATAAACCGACAGGTCACATTTGCCAAGAGAAGGAATGGGCTGCTGAAGAAAGCCTACGAGCTCTCAGTTCTGTGCGACGCAGAGGTTGCCCTCATCCTTTTCTCCAACCGTGGGAAGCTCTATGAGTTCTGCAGCTCCTCCAGGTTGTGTAACTAATCTTCTTCTTCAAATACACATTACTTTCCCTTCTGTTTTCTTAAATTAACATCTTATGTGGGGTTTTTGCGACTATTTTTTTCCTTATTGTTTTTGAACGAACCTGCTACGTACTCTTCTAGCTAGATGTCTACATTTTTCTCCATGATGTTGGGACTACTTGCTTGCTGATCAGATCTACAATTGTGTTGATAGGATCTTGCTGTGTTTCAGTGTGAGAGTGAAGGCTGACCATGATGGAAACTAGAACTGATAGTTTTTATTTCTTCTCCATCCTTTTTTTTTTTTTTTTTTTTGCTGTTGAAGATAATTTGAGTGGGTTGGATTAACCAATATTTTGGCTAATTTTAACTTAAAAGTTGGCTTTTTTTTTAATGCGGTTCCACAGTTTGTACTTTTTTAATGGTGGTACTAGTGTAATGAAAATTGATTGGCCGAACTGGTAAAACTATGAATTAAAAGCTAGACCAGCTCGAAATAGTGAAAATTGGTCATATTCGAACTATCGATGAACGAGCAGTTTAAACTATTAACTAATCAAATTGCTTGAACTACCCGACCAATCCATAGCATTCCACCCAACCATATCTTCCCTATGGGCTATGGCTCTGTCGAAGGGAAAAGAAAATAAAAACTCATCCCACTTGTCCTCGCTGATCTTTCTCCATCTACTCCCATGCCTGTGATTCCCAATCTACCTCCATGGCCGTCTTCTTCGATTTTTTTTTTTTTTTGGTAGAGTCTTCTTCGATTTTGGGGGAGAAGGGTGTGCTATAAATCAGTGAAAAGCATAGACGCACCCAAAATTTTTTGGAGGAAAGAACTTATTGTTTGGCTAGTTAAGGATCGATCGATGTTTGTCTCATAGAATGGACCTGGACGGAGGAGGAGGGGTTTTTCTTATGTGCGGCTTTTCTTGTTTATCCGTTGTCGCCGTCTTAAGTGAATTCGAGCTGCCTAGCTAGCAAGGGAATTGAGCCGCCTCTGATTGCGGAGTCATATTTTCTGGAGGTAATGCCCCGTCCCAAAAGGTGCAAACTAATAAAAATTCGAAAATTATAGCTCGAATTCCACCGCCACGACGCCACCCACCATTGTAACAAAAAAAATTGTTTTGAAAAATTAATATTTATTGAAAGAGTTTAAATAATATTTCTTTTAGTATGACAATCTGTTTACACCATAAAATTTGTCTTGTACCACATTGGTGAGTTACAAGATAATTAATGAGTTTATAAGGCCACACCCATTAGAACAATTAATGTTGTTTCAGTTGGGCCTTATGGATATTGATTTTAGGCCCAAGCCACTAAGTCTAAAGAGAGGCCATGTCGCCTCAACGAAGAGGCCATGCCGCCTCACCAATAAGACCGAATGAGTGAAAATTTAACTAAGTCTAGAAGAGGTACATGCCACTTCATGAAGAGGCCATGCCGCCCCATGACCAAGGCCTAATGACTAAAAAATAAACTAAGTCTAGAAGAGGTACATGCCACTTCAAGGAGAAGCACGTGCCACTTCACGAGAAGGGGCATGGACGCAAGAAAAGATAGTAAGTATGAGAGGGTCATGTTGTGTCACGAGAAGGGCCACAGACATGACTGAGAAGTCCATGGCCGCGAATGAGGAGGCCATGTCGCCTCATGATCCAAAATATACTAAGTCTGAGAAGGCCATGCCGCCTCACGAGAAGGCCATGGACATGAGTAAGAAGTCCATGGCCGCGAGACAAGAAGGCCACGACCCCCTTTGCGAGACACTACATGCTCGTCAAAAGACTAGCATGGCACAAGATTCAGAACAAGACTAGGCGAGGCAAGCTACACTCCAAAACCCACGACGGTTCCAAGAGAGGCACCTAGGCGGTTGAAGGAGTAACCACCACTCCGAGGAAGCAAGGAGCGGTTCTTTTTGGGAGTTGTCCAAGAGGCGGTTTATTACCGAAGAAGGAGGAGCGGTTCTTTGTAGCAGTTATCCAAAAAGCGGTTTTCTATGGCGGTTACCTCCTCGGGGCTATAAATAAGAGGAGGGGTCGACAGAGACAAGGGTTCCAAAACCAACACTCTGACACACATGTCAAGTTTATCCTTTACCTTTTCTCTATCATGTAGCCATAGATGTAGTTCGTAGTTTGGAGCTCTCGCCGAACCTCCATAGGAGTAGAAGTAATTTAATTTAGATCTCGTTCCCAAAAAACCATCAATCGAACACCCTCGTTCGAACTGTGTTTGAAGAGGTGTGAACCGTGTTTAGTGATCGTTGTCCAAAGAAGTCAAAGGTGCAATTAATTCATTTCAACGCAAGTTTTCTCGCCGGAAAACAAATTTGGCACACCCGGTGGGACCCTTGTGGTCGATTTGATGGCTCCGAGGCGGAGGAATCAAGAAGGTGACGTTCCGGCTGGATTCGTGGAGGAGCATGTGGCCAACATCGAGCATGGCCAAACATCCGACGCGGTTGCCGGAGGAAACGGTGGAGCAGAGATCTTGGTGGCAACTGCCCCTGGTGGAGATCTTGGTGAAGCCGTGAGGGCCCTTCGTCAGATGATGGAGGAGAACCGCCAGATGGTGGCTGACACCCATCAAGCCACGGAGGAGAACCGCCGAATGCTGATGGAGAACCACCGCATGTTGGAAGAGACTCGGGCCAATACTCATCAGGTAAATTCTCAAATGGACTGTCTCAATTCTTGCATAGATAGACGTTTCAGTCAATTGTTTGAAGTATCCAACAAAAATACAAATGAGGTGGATCAACTCCGACAGTCTTTAAGTAGACCAGTAGTGCAGTCAAGAGCTTTGCCATTAGATGGCATAGGCCTAACGCCTACTAATAGTGTTTTTTCTCCCGCTGGTGGTCGGAATGGCCAACCACGGCAAGAGAACTTGCCGCCTCAAATGGCAAGCCAACCACCTCCACATCGAGTAGGTGATGTCGAGATTCCTGCTACAACTCGAGTGGGGGAATCGTCACAGGCACGCGTGGGAGTTGAAGTGGTACCCCCGCGTGGTGAGAACTTCGCCACCATGTTCAACACTCGAGTTGAGCAGCCACCCGTGCAAGTGGGTGCTCGTCCCTTTATCTCGGAGGCAAGACCCTACGTGGCTCCCGTGAATTTGGGGGTAGGAGGAGGCCTAGGTGGTAACATTGATCAAATTCCACCTCGAGGCTACCCAACTCCAACGCCACCCCATTTCAATGGGCATGGTATGGACCCCATTGGTTTTGCACCGTATGGGGGGCAACAAGGGGGGCATGAGGCCAACACTCTTAGGGATCAGGTGGCTCAACTCCTTACGGAGCAGTTTGGCATGGGAGTAAGACCTGCTATGCCACCTGTATACCGTAAGCCGTACCCAGAATGGGTAGATAGGCTTTACCCATTTCCAAGGGGATTCAGAGTTCCCGAGTTTGCCACATTCACAGGGACTGGAGATCAGTCCACTGTAGAGCACGTTGGACGTTTCACTGTCCAATGTGGCGATGTAGGAGATTTTGTTAAGTTAAGACTGTTTGGAAACTCGTTGACAGGACCGGCTTTTGCTTGGTACGTCAACTTGCCGTCTAACTCCATCCAGACTTGGCAACAGATGGAACAAGTCTTCCACGCTCAGTTTTACAGATCTGAGCCCGAGGTGTCCATGGCTGACCTGGCACGTATGCGCCAACAACCAGGGGAATCGGTTGAGCATTTCTTGACTAACTTCAAGAATGCCCGTAACCGTTGCTTTGTTAATTTGACGGAGAGGGAGTTCGTCAAGCTGGCGCAAGGGGGTTTGAGTTTTGAACTAAGGAAGAAATTCCAAGATAGGGAGTTCTCTGATTTATTTCAACTCATGTCTTGTGCTGTGAGGTATGAGTCTCTTCTACATGAGGAAGAGAATCGTAGGAGTGCATCAAGGGGATCATACTTCCCAAATTTAGACTATACCATCAATCATATTGGCCACGAGGCCAATGAGGTTGAGGTAGACTTGGCTTAGATAACTCTAGGGAAGCCATACATATGTGCTTCTTTGTCTAAAGTTGAAGAGGGACCACAAGGGGGAAGACCTAATCGTGCTCCCATTCAGCCAAGGAAGTATTCCTTTGACGTCTCCAAGGCAGACTTGATTTTTGACCAACTCTATAAGGATGGTCAAGTCAAGTTGACAGGGGGGCATGTCTTTCCCTCACCCGAGAAATTAAAAGGAAAAAAGTATTGTAAGTGGCATAATAGCATGTCACATGCCACTGATGCTTGTATGGTGTTCCATAATGTCTTGCAGGATGCCATTGAAAAGGGACGTATCAAGTTCCCAGAAGCAAAGAAGGATGCCATGTTGGTGGACACTGATCCGTTCCCCAAGGTGCTTGGCATCAACATGGTCAACCCAGACTTCTCCAAAGTCGAGTTACCATGCTTCAAGCTGGTGTTGGATACAACACCGCCTCAAAGGAGACCCAACGTGGTTTTCGACCAAGGAAGCTCGTCATGTACCAAGCAGGCCAGCCTGGCCGCAATGATGACTGATGAAGTTGAGAATTTGTGTGCTCATTGCAAGAAGAGTTTTAAGATTGAAGAAGAGAAGTCGAGATGTCCATCTAGGGGGAAGGTGGTTTCCAAGAAGCCACATCAACCCAAAGCCTCACATGTTTGTGATAAACATGCTAGTTTGGCTAAGTCTGGACAAGAGGGCATGCCACCAATCATCAACAGTGGACATGAGGTCAAGTCCAACAAGAAAAGATGTGGGAAAGCCAAAAAGAGTTCTCGTAGTCTTGAAAATTTAGCTAAGTATGGGAAAGGAGGCATATCACTCACCATAAATAATGGAGTTGGGAGCATGTCCAAGAAGCTAAATGAATTTCAGCCTACACATGCTTGTGATAAGTACACAAGTTTGGCTAAGTGTGGACAGGGGGGCAAGTCCATGTCCAGGAGTAGTAAGTACATGCCATCAATCATGAATGATGGCCATAGGGGCATGCATAAGAAGGTATCA